ATTTAGTTGGGATAGGATAGAATTTATACAATAGGATAATTCTTAATAATTTTTTATTTTATTTTTTAGTCAATAAAATTTAGATTTAAATAGGAAATAAATATATTCGATCAAACTAAATTATCTTTATTTTTTCAACCAAGAAAATTAAAATCCTTAAAAATATTTTTATGAATCTATAAATTTAATAAGGTATACGCAATTCCAATCTTCTCCTCCTCATTCCTACTTTAATAAAAAAAAAAATATTTGATTTCTTTTTTAATATTATCAATCCAAACAATAAATTTATTACAATGTAGCACCCCATATCATTAAGAAAAATAATAACATCGTTAATATTCTTTCAAAGTAATAAAACTTTCATTTTCTCTTTTCAATAATTAATGAGATTAACAATATGGCAGATATTATTTCAGAGTAATAAAAATTTCAAGATTACTTTTCCAATATTCTATAGAATGTTTTGTTTAAATTTGCAATGCTTTATTTTTCTGTTTATATTCAATTTATATAACATTTATAATGAAATTTAAATTTTTAATAAATAATAAGATAAATAATGAATTGTATAATGCTATTTAAATTTAAAAAAATAATCATACAAATTATATATTCTGCACGCAGGCATTTAACTTGTTTTTAATAATAAAATTAAATTTAAATATGATAATTTCTAATTGAATTTAAATATTAATTCTCAGTAATATTTGTCTTTTGTATTAACTTTTAATATTAAAGTATTTTTTATTTTTAATATTAGATACAAATATTAGTGATCATGACAATTAATTTCATCATTTAATCTTACAATTTAACAATGACAATATTAAAATTACTATTAAATTCAAATATTTGTTCTTTTAAAGTCAATTATAAAAATATTAATCCTTAAGATTTCTAATTGAGTTGCTAGTCATTTTTAAAACCGGACTGGACATTAATATCTTGACGAATGTAATTACAGTTAGATCGAGTCGACTCGGTTCAACTAGATTTACTTTTTAATTTTTTATATCTAAAAAATTAACAAAAAATAAAATGCATTCATAAATAATTTTATAATAATAATATATTTATAAATATATAATTATTTTTAAACCATTATCATCTAATATTAATCTATCACCACTAATTTTTATTTCAATCATTATTATATTCAACATAATAATAAACTTATCGAAATAAAAGTTATAATAATTTAAATGTATACAATCTTTAAATAATTCATAGATCACACAAAATATAATTAACGGTGATTAAGATTTATTTTCATCAGACTGCTTAGTCCTTCTGACTATACTTTTTATATTTTTCCGTTAAATGAGTCAAAAATAGGAGATAAGTGAGAGAATTAATCTAAAATGACTGTAATGTTGGTGTCTTTTGAGGTATTTTCCCAATATCCCCTCTAACTCTCTCTCTCTCTTTCGATGCACCACTTACTCTCCTACTCAATCCATCGACAAATCACTGTAGGGATGGCCAAAATCCGGTTTTCGGAACCAGAACCATCGGTTCCGAACTGGTGGGAACCGGAACTGGTCCGAACAGGAACCCGAACCGATCCAAACCATTTCGGTTCCAGTTCCACAAGTTTTGGAACCGTGAACCGACGGTTCCAGTTTCAGTCGGAGCCGATGGTTCTAGTTTCATCGGAAATCGGCCAGAACCGTCCAAAACCGGCCAGAATCGGTCAAAAACCGGCCGGAGAACCTGCTGGAACTATCGATTTTAGAATCATTAAGGAATCAAAACCAAAACCGAAACCGTTCGGTTTTAAACCGTAACCGAAACCGTTCGGTTTTAAACCGTAACCGAAACCGTTAATTTTCAGTTCAGTTCCGGAACCGTGACCACCCCTAATCACAGTATATACCCTCTCTCTCTCCTTTTGCTTATTTCTCTGTTTTCATGATTTCTCCCCCTTTCTTTTTCTCTTCTTTCTCTCTACCTACCTATCATATGTTTTTTCTGGGTATATTATTTTTTGGGCTTAAGATTTAGATTTGAATTTGTGTTTTTTGGTGGTTGTTGATCAACAAAAAGAGAGAACCCAATGATAATCCTTACAGGGAACAACTAAACCAGGAGCGACAGCGGTTACAGCTACAAAACCAGAATAGAACAGTCAAATGCATCACGAAAGGCTGAATTCGAGATTTTCATAGGCAACTTCCAGTGCCAATGGCAGAAATTGTAATTAATTTTATTTTCATGAAACCCAGATCATCAAAAGAATTAATTTAGAAAAATCACCATATCTTGTTGTTTGAATAGTTTCTATTCAGATTTTGTTATTATTTCTTACCTTTCTTTTTGAAAATTTTGACCTATATATGTTTTTTCCTCTCTCTACTAGGACAAGATGGCAACTTCAAAATTCGATTTTTATTTATGAGTTACTCCTTATACTTTGATGCCAAAGGCATATTTAGTTTTTACTTTTGTTTTGATTTCCTTGTGCTTTGATTTGTTTGAAGAGGAGATGTAAGTGAGGAGATGGGTTCTTGTATATCAAACTGGTTGAGTTATTGAAGCCATTGATGAATATTAGGCGTTAGGTTGATTTGCTCTGCCATTATGCCTTTAATGATAGGGTATTTTTGTTTTTTCGTATGATTTTAACAGAAAATTTTGGTAAAATATACAGAATTGACTAAATAGACAAAAGAAAGTAAATATTAGAAATCGTTAATTAATATTGTCAAACTATAGGGATAATTAATATTGTTAAACTATAGGGATGAGTTAATTAATTTAATCTGAGACACTAAATAATTATTTTCCTTTAAATAAATAAATATTAGTTATAAAATAAGCATTTTTAGAACTTGGGTAGGCCCATTGAAGTTGATTTATCAAGAAAATTTATACTATTTATTTATAATCTTTGGACGTATTTATTATGAAATTTTTTTAAAATAAGAAGCTAGTGGATTTGAATCCATGACCTTTTAAAAATAGTTTTATGCCTTGACCACTTGATTCATTTAATTTATAATGTAATATGAATTTTTTTTATTTAAAATTAAAGCTACCCAGTTTAGTAAGAAATCGAACCGTATCAAATTCAGATGGTTGTTTAAAAAATTCAGTTACCAATCGGTTTTAAGTATATATAATTATTTTGTTTTTTATTTTTAGTTAGGTTACCATATATAATTAATTAAATTTATTTTGATTTGAAATAAATAATTTTAAATCAAACCAAACCAAACCGATTTAATTCAATTTAGATTGATTATTATACCATTTGATCTCAGATTTAATTCCATAAAAACATATCTGAATAAACCGAAATCAAACTAATTATGTTTGGTACGATTTGATTAACCAAGTGTTTATCCTTGGCCAACGGACACTTTTTTGTACTCAATTGCAATTATAACATTAACGTAAAAAGCCATTGAATTCCTAGTGTAACAGTTAGAAGCAAAAATTGTTTACCTCATCCCCTTAATGTAAATTGCAGCTCATCTAAGAATGCTAAATTTCTTACAAAAGTAATAAAAAGGACGTTGTAATCAAATATAGAAAATCAATCTGCTAATTAAAAAGTATTAAATTTCTTACAAAATTAAAAAAATAAATGTTGCAATCAAATATAGAAAATTAACTTCTATTTTATAAGTATGAATGAAATAATCAAATACATCAATTAATTATCCTCAGATTTTCCATAAACAACATATCTTGTCTTTACATAGCAAAGAATCCATCAATAGTCACTCTTTCTTCTATAAAATGCAATGGCAAATTTAAGACTTCATTTATTTTTAGAAAATAATTTATTTTTCAAAAATATTTTTTCATGACTTATTTTATATTGTTGGACTTATATATATATATATATGTTTCATTCAATTTGAAATATTTTGATCTTAAAAGCATAAATTAAACTAAAAGTTCAATTTTTAAAATTTTATAAAACCAAATCAAACTATCATTTTTTTAAATCGTAATTTTAAATCGATTTGAATTAATTTGTTCAATTCGATGAACATTCCTACAAATGGATGGTAAGACAACTAATGGGAACATGAAAATTAATTTCCGAAATTGCGGTATGCAAACAATGCTATTGTTTGGCTAACAAAATTTGGGAAAAATATTTTAATAGACCAGAATAATTCCATTAAAAGCATATCTGTTTGAACTTAATTAAATTAAAGTGTAATTTCAGACAAACAAGTGTTGATGGAAGTAGTTTGTGAATTCAATCTCGTAAATGTGAGGAGAGAAACTCGTAAATGTGAGAATGCTCGAATAGCATATTTTGTTGAGAAAACTAAATTACATTGTGTTACCCTTATCCAATATATGTAAATTATCTTTTACAGATAATCTCATTTCGTGAAACAATACCTAATATATACATATATGTAAATAATCTTTTTAACCTATTCAAGTTAATTTAGTTTATATTACTGAATATTATAAAAACATAATATTTAACATTTTAACTATATAAAAAATAATATTTAACATTATACTGATGAATACTATAAAAAAATAATATTTAACATTTTATCAATATAAAAAATAATATTTAGTATTTTTAACTAGCGTTCGCTGAACAGTCTAAATCTTCATCACAATAATTGTCTTTTTAGTTGCTCATTATCATACCAGAATTGACGAATAATGCTCTCTTCCACCTAACAAAAATAGACTTTCTTATATATCCCAAAATATAGACTACTTACCCAATCTAAATGTCACCTTATCTAACAATATTCAATTATTTTATTGAAAGTAAAATCTAATATTGAAAGTTTCATTTAACATTAACATAAGATTTAAGTTGCAAAAAATTATTATCAAAATCAGAAAAAGTTACAAAAAGCATAATTTAATATTAATGTATTAATATGTTGCGTATAAATTATCAAAAATTAAATAATATTACTCTTAATAAAAAAAAAGACAAACCTCTTATAGAAGGCACATTTCTAAAATAACTATGCTTCCCAATCCAGAAGTACAGGTTGCGCAAATAAACTAAAATATTTATAGATTAATTTTTTAAAAAATGCAGTAAATACTAAATTATTTATCTTATGAAATACATCATAAATACTATCTGGTTCCTATTTGTTTTTAAAACAATTCCAATTTTGAATTAGAGGGAAAAAGAAAGACGCTTATTATTCCCAATCTTGCTTGGAAACTATCAATTTAAGAAACTATCAATTTATAATTATCCAAAGCAAATAATGATTATCAAATTGAACCCTTGCCTATATTTCAATTCATGATCTTCATTTCATATTAAGAAACATAAACGAAAGTTTACTCTACTTATATATATAAGTATAAGAGCAATAAATAAAGTAAACTTCAGCATAATCATATAATTCTATTAATAATAAATAAATAATTAAACCATAATAAGTGGAAAAGGTACTGTAAATCTATAATGTTCTGCATGTGATCTAACCACTAAATTTTTCTGATTCCTGATTGGCCACATCATAAAAAGGACTTGTTCCATCAATTCCTTCTTCCAGGAAGCAGGCAGCCAGACAGTCACCAGCCATAACCACATTCAAAAATAGTAAAAAGTCAAATTCTTGAAACTAAAAAAGCAATTAACTGGTACTTACATGGGAAAGATAACAATCCAATGGCACAAACATTAACCCATTATATATTACTTCTACATAAAGATCAAAGAATCTCAGAGATTAAAAACCAACTGGATCCAAACAGATATTGAAAGCAAGATCTAGATACGAAAGGAATCATCTGAGAGATAAAGAACATCTATAACAGAGGTAGCAAGATATTAAATCATTGAATATATACATGCACCTACACATACATAGAGAAGTGAAACTATATCAAGAAAGTTGTTCAACATAGTATCAAGCTACATAATATATATATGTAAAAGAATCTACCATGAGATGAAATATATAAAAGCAAGATGTATATTGAAATGATAGATTTTAAAGATTTTATAAAAGGATACACATCTGAGAAAGGAAAAAATTGTGTTAAGGCGTATGATCTAAGAACTACAAATGAAAGATTTAAAATCATCAATGAGAGAAACAGATCGTACATAGCAAATAAAAGGAAAATGAAATAAAAAAGAGTAAAAGCATAATAAACAACAACCAGTATAGAAACTAAGTTTTCAACAGAAAAAAGAAATTATCAAAAACTTTCCACAAGTTTTTTAACACATATGGCAACAAATAGTACTTTACAAAAAATCAAAGAATCTAACAAGAAATGAAACCGATCAAAGCAAGAAAGAAATAAAAATGAAAGATCTAAAATCGGATTAAATATGTAAGAGGGAGATGTGTAGAGCTCCCTTCAATCCAAACAAGGATCTAACGTTAGGTAATAAAGCTCCTGAGATAAGCAAGCCATAAGCCTATCCAAATAAAAATATTCTTCAAGATGGGATAGGGCTATGGGATGCATAGCTTAGCAGCTTAATCTAACCTAGCAAGATCCTCTATTGGACTTCAAGGAGCTCCACTCCTTAACCCTAAGTATATATCCAAACCCTAACACCAAAACAAATCAAAACCGAGAAATCCAATACCCTCAAGATCTTCACTTACTTTTGGGTTGACAGATCTAACCGAAGGGAGACCAAAACAACACACAAAAAAGAAAAATTATGTAACCGTATCAAAGAAGGAAAAAAGAAAAGGAAAAAGAAAAAGAAAACTACAAAAATCATACCCAGAAAGCTTAGAGAACCCGTGATCCTTAGATCCATTTCACTCCATCATCTGAATTCCAATTTCTGTATTTTGACATACTAAGCTTAAAGTGGGTATCTAAAAAATACAAGATCTGCTTTAGCCCTAAAGGAAGACTGGAGAGCTTATCTGCAACCAACCCATTTAACCCTTGCTTTATATAGGCTCAAAAATCATCTATAGTAAACCCTAGCTGGAACTACCCCATTACCCATCCTGCTTTAAGCACCACATATGCCAACTACACTAGTAAATGACCTTTGGGTGAAAAGAATAGAATGATAGGTGACATAAAATACTGTTTTTGACAGTGAAAAATTTTTTCAAAAATAAAAAAGTATATTTATTTCTCTTGGGAACCGACTTCTTAGATTCCCTGTAATAATAGTGTTGATCACATGCTCTGTGGTTTGCTTTTGTCCACGATATTCAAAATCCAATATTGTTTTTTTTTTTTTTTTAGTTTTATTTTTACTTGCATGTGATGTGATAATGTTCAAAATTACTTTAATCACTTACCATGAAAGCTCTGTACACTGTAATAATGAGGAACGGTTGCTCTTATCTTAAGACGACCTTTCCTTTACCAGATCATGGTACATGTAAACTAACCTTTTGGTCCAAAGAATTGGATATACTGGATGGATAATACGCAGTCTCACGTTGAAATAAAAGGAAAATATGGAGCACACCGAGGCCTAATCTAGTCCAAAAGATTCGAATTCCTTTCTTTTAATATAAAAAAAATATATATGAAAAAAGAAAATATATTTAGAAAATTAATGAATGTTATTTTTCTTTTATTTTTCAAGTCAAAAGAAAAACGACACTCTTTTATTTTAAACTAATTAAAAAATATAAAAATCTATGACAATGATCAGCGGAGAGAAAATAATTTTGCTTTTCTCCTAAAAAATATTTTTTTTAATTTTATTTTTCCCTTCTTTTCCTTTTTTTCTCTTTAATTAAAACGAAGTTCTAAAATGTTTGTATGATTTTAAATATTTTAATTTTAATTATTATTTTAAAGTGTAATTCATCTTAAGGATATTTTGGGCAAACTTGTGGCTTAATTCGCTGAGAATCCTTGAATTATCGCCACCGTCTCACGTTGCAGTACTTCAAATTTAATTTATGGCATAAAAATTTTTAGACTCTGAATTGTATAACAAGAAAGTGCCCCTCACCCTTTTTTTCAATTTAGCCACATTGCAAAGCTCATTTTGGAATTGCCACATACGCTAATATTTGTTATTTTGTAAAATAGCACCCTACTTTTTACAAATACCACTAGTAAAGCAGTAATCAGGTCTTGTCTTTTCGATAAGACAAGTTTAAAGGAATGTTGTTTTGCAAATCAGGTTTGGCAATGGTTACATCCTCCTCTATCATGGCAAGATTTTATTGATAATAATAATAATATGATTCAATGGATAATAATTAACTTGAATTGCTATTCTAATAATACTAATGTGCTGGATTAGCGGACTTTATTCAGCATAGCTTGCTAGAAGCTGTGGAACAAAAGAAAGCAAATCGTCTTCTCTTATCAAAATTCTACAGATGTTGTGAGACATCTATCGGTAAACGAGATGGTTGCTAACATTAAAGCTTCTCTTTAGAGGTTATTTCAGTAGAAAACTCAATATCGAGTTCTTCTTGGCCTTGATCTTTGGCTCTTGCATGATGTAAATGGTAGGAATAGTTTGTATTTTCTATTAATAATTTAGAGCTTTGCTCTAACCCATTTAACAAAAAAAAAAAAAAGAGAATCTTTTAACTTTAACGTTCTAGCATATAAGGATCATTTGATAGCTCAACAAGGTTATATGCAGGTGTTAGAATGGTTTCATCCGATTCGAAAGGTGAGAAGAGCTCCTAGTAGATGAAGTAGATGCAGAAGCTTTGGCTTTGGAATTAACTATAGGAGAAGAGGTAAGATTTTGTTGTATTTTTGGCTTGTATCTCTTCCTTGCTAGCTACTATCTTTTCTTTCTTAGATGAAGGAAGGTCAGTACTCTGTTTTTTTATTCTCGTTGAGCTTGAAGGATTAGTGATCTTCTCCTCCAAATCTACAGAGAGAGAGAGAGAGAGATAGATAGATGGAATTAGAAAATATCATGCTGAAAAAAATTGTCAACTTGTTTTTGATGTCTTCACATGGGTTTCCATGGTCGGGGGGTGGAGAACCAAGAGGAGTCTTAGCCTCTAAAATTTGGGGAAATTTTTAATTATAATATATTAATATTTGAATTTTTATTTGGTGAAAAATTAAAAATAAATTGGTTATTTAACAAATATGAAGTCCAACAAACAATTAAATAATTAAAATTTTATTTTTTTTACTAATGCAATTGGTGGTCATAAAAGTCAAAAGTTAATTACTAAGGTCAAAAGTTAAAGTTTGTGTGCACCTATAAACTCAAATGGGTGAACAAAAAATGTCCTTTTTGTCTTCTTTTCTTTTCCTCTTTACTCTCTCTCTCCCATGACTTCCTTCTCATAAAATTTCAAAACAAGTAGAAGGATTATTGGCTTAATATACAAAAATATCTGGAACTTCGAGTCTCGTTGTAGAATCACTCTAAAATAATTTTTATGTCTCTAGTATCCTAACATATAAATATAAATATATTATCGCCCTAAATTTAAATTTGACCTAAAATTTATAATATAATAATATAAAAGTGGGACCACCAAACTAGCTTGAGTTAACTTAACCCAAACTCTTAAACTTAATGAATAAAAGGCAATGTATTGCTATTAGAAAATCAAAGCTCTAATTTCTTTGTCCAACCCAAATCTCTCTCGTTTACCTAACTACTCTTCCTCCATGGCTCTTTATTTAAAAGCAACCATAACCAAAACTAAAGACCTTTCATGTTCCAAACTCTTAAACTTAATGAATAAAAGGCAATGTATTGCTATTAGAAAATCAAAGCTCTAATTTCTTTGTCCAACCCAAATCTCTCTCGTTTACCTAACTACTCTTCCTCCATGGCTCTTTATTTAAAAGCAACCATAACCAAAACTAAAGACCTTTCATGTTTTCTATATTGATCCTTCTCTGCTTCTTCGTTAATTTTCGAACCTAACCTTTCTCTTCTTCTTCGTTAAATTCTGAACCCGACCTTAGATCTTGTCCATGAAGAGCTCAATGCTTACAGTCTTTTCGCCTCTAAGATAACTTTCTTTCTTTGGGTTTTTAATTTTTTTTTCTCCCTTTTAGTTTAAATTCTCATTGGGATTCGTTTGTGTGGCTTTCAATTGCACTATTGTGTTTTTATGAGCGAGTTCATTGATAAAGTTTTGTTGTTGTATGTACTATAAAAATATTAATTGTACTTGTTAGGACTGTATATGACACAAAGGAGTGTAAGTTTATAAATAAAGCATAGTTTTTTAAGAGTGTAAAAGTTTAAATTGTTTTTAAAGTGTAATAGATTTCTCTTAATGCTACAAGTGTAATAGATTGCTCTATTAATATGTTTTATATTATTAAAGTTTTAATTTTTAGTTCTCTAATGCACTAATTTTGTGGCTATTATTGTCTCTGTTACTGGAAAATCCCTTGCTAGTGTTGTACCAACTTACTTGGTGTATTGCTAGTGGACTGACACTGTCCAGCAAAGAAAGGCAAGAAAATGGAAATAAAGATAGAAGTAAGAAGCACTTCTAACATGAACGGACTCCTTTCCCTTCTCTTAGTTGAGTGTCTTTATCTCTCCATATTAGAGAGAAATTAACTTTGATTTTCAAACAACAAAACGCTGTGTTTCATTAATTTAGAAGCTTAGGTTAAGTTAACCTAAGCTAGTTCGGTGGATTCCACTTTTATATTATTATATTATAAGCCCCCGGGTCAAATTTGAATTTAGGGTGAACATATCTAAGTTTGCAAGTGAGGGTGACGAGGGGACAAATCATTTTAGAATGATACTACAATAAAGCCCAAAGTTTGAGGTATTTTTTTAGATTAAGCGGAGGATTAATGGCTCTAAATCTCATATTTTTAGTTGCAACTCAAAGGTAATTTTTTTTGTCTTTATGGATTTTAGTCTCGGTTTTTTTACTTCTTTTTGTGAGAAAATTCATGGTATTCAATTTTTATAATTGGAAACTTGTGGATAATTAAATTATATGATCCCAGTAAAGAAATTACGATACAATTTTATCAATTTGCATCCAATTAGCACATAAACTCTTGAAGATGGAAAAAGAAATACGACATTCAATTGTTTATTACAGAATGTAGTGATAAACACACAGCACATATTTAGAAACTCTTTTTAGTTAATCAACTTTTTGAATTAAAAAAACTTGGTCTCCTGTATGCTCTGTAGCATACGTCTGCCGCCTTCATCTTTTGTTTCAAAAAACTGTTTTCGCAGCCATCATTTCCTCCGCTTTCTTTCTATCTCTATTCTACCATATCCCCTTCTCTGCCTTGATGAGCTTCTCTCCTTTTTTCAATCTCCAGGGATAAACAAAAACCTCATGCCATGTTCTATGTTTTCCTGTACCGACTAAGCCCTATTTTTTATTCCCAACCACCCGCCGACTAAACCCTACTCTTATCGTCTCCTACCATACATCTTCTCTTCTTTTAGCCTCGACTAAACCTTATCTTATCTCCTCTTTGTCTTATCGCATAATCGATCCTCACACCTATCATATCCTGTACCATTATGGAACATGATTTCTCAAATCTATCCATTGATGTTGTTGAGGAGGAAGCACTTAGCGCTATTCACCCGACAAGTAATCCTACCTTGAACGGTGACTTCTGCCTTGTTGGTATGTTTCTTACATATAGCTCCATCAACTTTCAGGCCATGATGAATACTTTCACAAACTTATGGCATCCCTTAGGGGGTGTGGATATATCAGAATTGGGAGCCCGTCGTTTTCTCTTTTGCTTTTATAATGATGTTGACTTTGAGAGAGTTATTGAAGGAGCACCCTGGACTTTCAATCGTCACCTTCCTGCATGGAGTAACATTGAAAATTTTGCTGACCCTTTAAAAATGCCTCTTTTATCTGCTGATTTTTGGGTCCAGGTACATGACTTGCCTCTTGGATTCATGTCAGAGGCTATGGCAACATTATTAGGGAATTGTGTTGGTGAGTTCCTAACGTATGATTCTCGAGTTTTCACTCCTACTCAGAATCATTTTATGCGGATACGTGTTACACTTGACACACGAAAACCTTTGATGAGATGGAAAAACATTTTTGGGTACAGATGGTATGATATTTTATGCATAATTTCGGTATGAACGTCTACCAGTTTTCTGTTTTCCCTGCGGCAACCTTGGACACTCAGATTCCTTTTGTGATCTTCGTTTATATCAAAAAAAGGAAGAGCTAGTGCGGCCTGGGATGACCGAATTCATCTCCCAGCGAGGAGTTCTCAGAACCAAAGTAAGTGTTTACATGGTTTTGGAAAGTTGACGAAGGTCAAATAATATGTTAAAATCACAGGATTTCGGGATGGCTTTTTATGGCCATTAATGCACATGATGGGTTAACGGATCAGTTTATGGAGACAGATTGCGTGTTTATGGGCTCGGGAGAACATATGGGCTTTAATGAGGATGAGAGCATCTCTAAACCTAAAGAGAAAAAGAGAAGACCTAGAAATACCATACTTTCAGCTGTTGTTGTTTCTACAAGGAAGGATTCGACAACCAGCAATAATAATGCAATTCTTCGCAGTCTCTTAAGATATCAGCCAATCCTGCTATGCATGATGGCCGGGAGCAATAATTGTCCTCAATTGGAACTGTTGAGGGCTTGGCAACCCTCAGACAGTAAATGCTCTCAGGAAGTATACCTTGAGCACTAAGCCAGACGTGGTGTTTCTTATGGAAACACTAGTGCATGGTCAGCGAATGCAGGAATTACGTCACTTCATTTTGATTGGTGTTTTTCTGTGGATTGTACTGGTCAGAGTGGTGGATTATCTATTTTGTGTAATAATTCAACCCAGCTGATGGTTACTGGTTTCTCTCAAAATTGTATTGACTTTGTTATTTCTTACAGGGATACGCAGGAGGCTTACTGGTTTTATGGAATTCCTGATTAAAATAGGAGACGGTCTTCACGGAATTTATTGAGGGCTCTTGCGCAAGAGATGATAAGCCGTGGATTTGTATGGGGGACGTTAATGGCTTCTTAGCTACTGAGGAGAAGATTGGTGGTAATATCTATCCCAGGTTCTTATCAAATGGGTTCAGAGAAGCTATTGAGGAGTGTTGCCTTTGTGACCTGCCTACCTTTGGTTATAAATTTACTTAGAGCATGAGATGTGATAACTAGATTATTACTAGGGTACGATTGGACAAAGCTATGGCTACTTCATATTGGTCGAAGATTTTTCAAAATGCTTTTGTTAAAACACTATTCTCGCCTGTTTCAGATCATGATGTGATTTCTATCAATACTGACGGACTACATACTCATACCAGTAGTCGAAAATTTAAATTTGACAATGGATGGCTTCTCAATGAAGAAATTGAGGAAATGGTCAGATCGGGTTGGAATCGGGAACATAGTACTGATGTGATTTCCAAGAAGGGCTCATGTATTGATGCATTACAAGCTTGGGGTAGAAAACAAAACAGGGATTTCTGGGTAAGGAAACGCAGTATAAAACGACTTCTGGAAGATGAGCAGAACTTGGTAGGGCCTACAGATGAGGTTAGGCGAAAGAAGAATGGAATCGTTTGCTTCTTATCGAGGATGCTCACAGACAACAGTTAGCAAGACAATTCTGGTACAAGTACGGGGATAAAAATAGCAAATATTTTCATTAATAAGATTGAAAAGTTGCAGCTTGGAGATGGGTCATTTGTATCCAACACTTCTGAGATTCAAGCAGCGTTTATTAACTATTTTCAGCAGTTATTTACACAGTTAGTTTCGTTTAGTGGCCCTGTTCTACATCTGATCATGCCAACGGTGTCTAGAGTGGACAATGAGATGCTTGTTGCCAATATTGGCTTTGATGAGGTGAAACAGGTCATTTTTCAAATGCATCCCGACAAGGCCCCTGGTTTGGATGGTTTGAATCAGGCATTTTTTTAGAAATTCTGGCACATCATTGGTCAGGATATTGTATATGGGTGCCGATCATGGCTCACTCGAGGTATTTTGCTCACTAATCTTTTTGATACCACTATTGTGCTCATCCCTAAAAATGGTAACCCAACCACTGTAACTTATTTCAAGCCTAGATCTTTATGTAATGTGCTCTATAAGATTTTAGCTAAAGTTTTAGCTAATAAGCTAAAGAAAATTCTTACAAAAGTAATTTCTGAGAGTCAGTTTGCATTTGTGCCTGGCAGGCTTATTACAGATAATATCCCAATGGCTTTTGAAATGATCCATAATATAAAAAGAAAGGTGGGTAGTGGGATGGGGAACTTGCGCTCTCAAATTAGACATTAGTAAAGTCTATGATAGGGTTAATTGGGATTTTTTGTATCACATGATGATTAGGCTGGGTTTCTCAGAAAAGTGGGCCAGTTGGATGATGATGTTTGTTTCTAATGTTAAGTAGTAAGTTTTGGTAGCTGAGAAGGGGTAGGAGATATTCGTCCGGGTAGGGGGTTGCGTCAAGGGACTCAGCTCTCTCCTTATTTGTTTCTTATTTGTGCTGAGGGACTTTCTTCTTTAATCTCTGAGGTTGAAAGGGTTGGTGAGGTGCATGGTGCTAGGGCGGGTAGAGGGTGCCCTAGGATTTCCCATCTTCTTTTTGCTGATGATTCACTTTTCTTTTTTCATGCTAATATTCTAGAAGCTAATTGAATGAGTCAAATTTTAGTTGACTATGAGAAAGCATCAAGGCAATCTGTCAACTTTCAAAAATCAGGTATTATGTTTAGCTCTAATGTTAGTGCTGATGTCAGCAATAATATCTTTAATGTCTTAGGAGTGCATAAATCTATAGAAAATGGTGTTTATCTAGGTCTTCCTTCTTTCGTGGGTAAAAATAAAAGACAGGTGTTTAATTTTCTTAAGGATAGACTTTGGGCTAGGTTGAATAGTTGGTCCAATAAGCTCTTGTCAAAAGCGGGTAGGGAAATTTTGTTTAAATCAGTTGTCCAGGCTATTCTTATTGTATGAGTGTTTTTATGTTGCCTAAGAATATGTGTAATGAGTTGCAAAGATTAATGAACAGGTTTTGGTGGAGTTTAAAAAAGATGGTGGTCGAGATGTCCATTGGCTCTCATGGGATAGATTATATGGTAGTAAGGGGGAGGGGGGTATGGGTTTTAGGGACCTTTATTGTTTTAATGTGACTATGTTGGGAAAACAAGGATGGAGATTACTCTCTCATTCTAACAATCTTTGTTATAAGGTTTTCAAAGCTAAATATTTTCGAGATAGGGATTTTCTCAATGCTTCTCTAGGATCTAATCATAGTCTTGTATGGAAGAGTGTAACTTCCTCAACTAGGTTAGTAAAACAAGGGGTAAGGTGGTGAGTGGGGAATGGGGAAAGTATTAATGTGTTAAGGGATCCTTAGCTCCCTAGGGAGGGTTCTTTTCGTGTTAAAGATGGAGTAGGTTTTATTGACCTACAAATGAGAGTTATAGATTTATTTAAGCCAAGAGAAAGGTATTGGGATATTGAGAAGATAATGTCTCTTTTTTGTGCCAGGGATATGAAGACAATTCTTGAAATCCCATTGAGTATTATGAATAAATGTGACCATCTAATATGGCATTTTTAGAAAAATGGTGTGTATAGTGTTAAGTCAGGCTAAAAGGAGGCTTTGAAAATTTTATCCAATGGGAGCAACCCTATGGAAGGTAATTTTTGGGGGAAAATATGGCATTTGGAAGTGCCTCCAAAAGTTAAAAATTTTATGTGGTGTAGTTGAGGGATATTTTACCTACTTAGGAGAGAATTAAGAGAAAAGGGGTTAATATTAAGGAAGATTGTCCTTTTTGTAGGGAGATAGAGGATGTTAATCATGCTTTAAGTGGATGTCAAAGGGCTAGAATAGTTTGGATTCTGGGGGGCTTTAAGTTTCATAATTCTAATGCTTTATATAAAGATTTTTTTCTACAGGTCCTGAATAGTGGAGACACACATAAAGTCCATGCTAATGCTATATATGCTTGGTCCTTATGGCAAGCACGTAACCAATGTGTATTGGAGAATAATGTTATGCCATGCAATGTTATTTATGCAAATGCTGTGACATTCATACAATTATGGTCCGCAGCCCAAACAACTCTCTAAGGTGCTTCGGTGTCCAGTCCTCGTCTAGTTACTCAGTCGATCGACACTTCAAATGCGTGGCATGCACATGTTGATGGTGCGATCTTTGATGAGGCAAGTCTAGCTAGGTTCAGTGCGGCATTTGAAATGGAAGAAGGTTGTTTCCTTAAGGTCATCTCCGGCTACTATGATGGTGGCCTAGATCCCACAATTGTTAAAGCCATTGCTTTGCGGTATTGCATTTTGTTTGTCTGTGAGAATTATCCAGGCAGATGTTTTATTTTTATTGACTCTCAAGTCGTATTTTTTTGCTCTTAAAAACATTGTTATTAATAGCTCCTCTTTAGGCTTAGTTATTTTAGATTGCAAAGCTATTTTAGATGATCGCCCAGATGTCAATGTTATCTGAATTAGACGACAAGCTAATGCAGGTGCTCCTACTCTTGCTAGAGCATCCTATCGCCATGCTTGCTTTGATATTTGGAAACATATTCCTCATTATTTATTGGATTTCTTTCCTTTAGTTAATAAAGTTATTATCTCTTTCAAAAAAAAAAAAAAAAAAAAAGAAACTCTTTTTAGTTATTCATAGTTATTTTATGCATGTCTCCTTACTTATTGTTACATTCAAGATTTATTAATTAAATGTTTCATATTTTGTATATGAACATAATGATTTAAATTTCTTATTAGGTTGCAATATGCTCAAATCAACATTTATTAAATCATTTTTTAACAGGAAAGAAAATAATCTCAACAATCCAAAACTTAGTGAACTAATTCTCATATCAAATGGTGATACTTATGTTGATAAAATAACAAAAGGCTACTATATGTATAGCTCGAGACGTGTTAAAAAACATTGTCTTTTAGGATAATTCATCCACACAAGATGTATTCCCAGGATTCAACAAGATCTTCTATAAACAAACAGAAAGCAGAAGCAGTAGAAAATAATAACCCAGTAGAGAAAGAAGAGTGAGAACTATAATGCTTTTCGTAATTTTCAAAGACTATATAGCGAGGTATTTATAGCAACACATTAAACAGTTAATAAGATAGTGGCGCTAAATATTTGGAGCACTTATATAGCGTCATGAAAAATCCGAAAAATAAAATAATACACGTAGAGAAAATTACAAAAACAAAATAATAAACGTTAAGAAAATCAGAAAAAATAAAAAAAAATAATGTTTTAACAAGGCAAAATAGGACTAATGTAGATAAGCTGTGAATTTAATTTAATTTTCCAAAAAATTAAATTAAGATGCAAAATATTTTCTTGGACTGGGCCTCTTGTTTAACTTACGCTCATGGGGAATCTATTTAACATTAAACGGTTAACAAGATAGTGGAGCTGAATATTTGGAACAATAACATAGCATTGAGGAAAATCAGGAAAATAAAATAATACACGTTGAGAAAATTAGGAAAATAAAATAATAAATGTTGAGAAAATCAGGACAAATAAAAAATAAGGTTTTAACAAGTCAAAATAGAACTACCGTAAATTTAATTTAGTTTCACAAAAAATTAAATTAAGATGCAAAATATTTGCTTGGACAAGGCCTCACGTTTATAACTTGTGCTCATGGGGTAATCCACTTAACTCAAACTTGACGCCTGACAGTTCAAGCCCATACCTCTATTTTGCTTATTACTAGCCTAATAAGGAGAGTTCAATTATAAAACCAATAAAAATGCTTTACATTACCCATATGGGACAAAGTCCCTTTTGAAATATATTACAACAAGCCCCAAAAATTTCAAAAAATGATTCTAAGGATAATTGTTGGATTCTCTTTCTCGCATTCAAGTATGATGCATCAATTCTTATGTATTTAATACTATGAACTAGAACTAGAAAAATGAAACATAACATACAGAATATTTAGTGGAACTTTTAGGTTTACATGAACTAAGTATTCATTTTGTAGATCAAAGAATTCTAATTAATCACATTATACCTCCTACAATTCTATTGTTCAATACAGTTGTGTACCAATAAGCCATGCGCGAGCCTGGTTATTCATGAGTGCTCTAGAGATTTTACCATCAACCTCATAGGAGCGGCTAAAATCCACACTCATATAGGTCATTCCATCAAGTGTGCACAGCATATAATACACAACTGATAAAGGATATGAAATAAGATTAAGAGTTTTATTCATCATCATTATTTAGTATACTTTCACACATACACCATAGGAGAGACATAATCTGATACTGCTTAACAAATCAACTAATGACTTATTATTACCCATATGAACCTAATTCATAGGATTATCAATCATATAGGTTAGGTTACCATCATCGTTGATCTCTCAAATTGGATATAGCCTCATTCCCTTCTCAAATTGGTTGTAGTCCCATTTCCCTTGATGTTTCATTTATTAATTTCCTTCCTAATGGTTTTGTTAGAGGATCAGCCAAATTCACTTCTAACTTCACATAATCAATTGATATAATTTCATCTCTTTGCAGTTGCATGACCACATCATATCTTAGACGAATATGTCTATTTTTGCCATTAAAGGTCTTATTCTTTGCAATTGCTCCACTTGAGAATCACAATGCATAGATATAGAAGGTGTTGATTTTGTTCCAAACGAAATACTTGCCAAGAAATTTTTCAACCACTCAGTCTCATTACCAACTAACTCTAGAGCAATAAACTTTGACTCCATTGTGGATTTAGCAATAATTGTTTACTTGGCTTATTTCTAAGAAATCACACCACCACCTAGGGTGAATATATAACCACTAGTGGATTTTGTCTCATTTGAATCTGAGATCCAGTTAACATCATAGTATCCTTCTAATACAACACGAAATCCACTATATAGAATACCATAGTTCATGGTACCCCTCAAATACTTCATTATCCTGACCAAAGCAAATCATTATTTGGATTGTGTTCTACATATACCATATGTTATGTCATGTTGAGAAAAATTCATTAAGTGCATCAAACTTCCAATAACCTGTGCATAATTTGATTGAACAATAGGTTCAACTCTGTTTTCCTTTAATTGATTGTTTGCATCAATAAAAAGTGCTACTGGTATAACATCATAATGTCCAAACTTCTTGAGAAGTTTCTCAATATAATGCTCTTGTGATAGCAAAATACTATCACCTTTCCTTATGATTTTAACTCCCAAAATTAGACTTGCTTCTCCCATATCTTTCATATCAAACTTTGAGCAAGAAAACATTATGTTTGATGCACTAAGTTAAGACTAGTATTAAAAATAAACATATCATCTACATATAAGCATATAATCACACAATCACTTCCAATTAATTTTGTATAAACACATTTATCCACTTCAATTGAAGTGAAACCATATCCAATTAAAACTTGATCAAATTTCCTATGCCACTGTTTAGGAGCTTGCTTTAAACTATAAAGAGATTTTAGAAGCTTATAAACTTTATTTTCTTGATCAGAAATCTCACAACCCTCAGGTTGTTCCATATAAATTTCTTCTTCTGAATCATCATTTAGAAAGGTTATTTTCCACATTCATTTGATACATAAAAAGTTTGCAGATTGAAGTTAGAGCTATCAAAATTCGAATTGATGAAATTCTAAGAATAGGAGCAAAGGTGTCAAAATAATCTATGTTTTGCTTTTGAGAAAACTCATTGCAATAAATCTAACTTTAAATTTATCTATAGAACCATCAGGATTAAATTTATTTTTAAAAATCCATTTACAACCAATTAGTTTTGCTCCTAAAGGTAAATAACCTAATTTTTAAGTTTTATTTTACAAAATAGAATCAAGCTCTACTTTAATAGCTTCTTTCCAGAAAGGATCATCAAATGAAGAACTTGCTTCTAAATAATTGAAAGGATCATTATCTATAAGGTAAGTGTAAAAATCATTTCCAAAAGAATTTTCTTTTTTTGGCCTTTTATTTCTTCTCAAAATCTCATTCTCATATTCTTTAGTGTTTTGAATAGTAGGTCTATGAGAAATGTGAT